TTTCGCCTCTTCTTCAATTAAAACATTATAATGTGCACTAATAAAAAGCGGTTTAAAATTGGAAGAAATCTGAAGACAGTTCCGAAGAAAAATATTTTAAAGTTTATCGACAAGTTCAAACGATGTTCTATCCAAATTTTTGTATATAGAACCATCTATCTGCCTTTCTAATGTTAGAAACATACTCAGGAAATCTCCAAAATCTTTGGGCTATTACCTAACTCTAGTATAATGTATTTGTGAGACTTAACAAATGCTGCCACAACTCGAGATGAAAAATGTTTAATTTATCTCTCATCTATGGCATATTAGCTAATTCTCAGGGCTATTGTGCGGTTTGATAAAGCATAAGATCTTTTATATGTCTTTCTAATTTAATCCTCTGTAATTGCTTAAAAGTCTGAACAATCAAGAGCAATAAAGGTATTTTTACTAACATAATCCTTCGATTGATATGATAATTCATGTAACTTAAAATATATTCAATATATGATATAACCCATTATTAGTGACGAAAACTTCAGCACTATTGTAATCAATTAAAAGATACTGTAGAGTTTGATTTGTTTTGGTAGCATTGTAAGGATCCTAAGTTTTACTAACGTTTATTTTATTTTAAATCTTTACTATCACTTCTTATTTTCTACTTCCGGCCAGAATTAAAAGCTTTAACTTATTTATGCAAATTTGTCTTGCGAACGCCAAGTACTTAAGTTGTGGCTTTTTGCCAAGCAAGAGAGAGGAAGGAGCTATTAGAAGCAGGCCGCTTGCCATAGTAGTTTTACTCGGTTGCTGGTTGCCTTCAAGGCCAGAGGTTTAATCCTCTTGATAATTTTAAAGGTATCGTAGTGTTAGCAGTTCTCTGTACTACATACGGCTTTTTGAAAATATACTGTCAATCTTGGAGTTAGGCACTTGTTTATTAATCCAAAGTTAGTTTAGTTAGATTTTTAGTTAATATTTTTTATATTCTTACGTTCAGACCACAAGTGCTTGGTCTCTGTATTCCGAAGTTCCGGAAATCATTGTAAAGAGAGAAAAATAAAGGGTTTCGTATACCCTTCCTGTGTGTATTGTCTACTTCCCAAATTTATTGAACATAGCTTTAGTAAGCTCCCTGTTCCGAGTCAGGACAGTTAATGTTCCCAAAGCAAGTAAGGAGGAACACAGAACCTGATAGCATTAAACTGGTATCAAACCCTGACAGAGTTGGAGTAAATTACCGTTGTGTCTGAAACGCAATTCAGATTCTTAAGAAAATTAAAAACCAACTTTGTATTAAATCATAAGTTTGAATATAAATGGCACTGCTCACTTAAACAGTCAACCATTTGCGGCGATGTAACTTTAAGTAATAGTAAATTCAAATTTCAAATTAAGACTAGTAATCAAAAGCTATAGAAATGGCTTTCAACGCAAAGTTGGCGCAAACTTCTATCCGGTGTCACAAATAAAATGTCGGCAAATGCAGTGCAAAACTGAAGAATGCAATCTTATCTGAGCTAGCAGAAGCCTAGTAGCATGTCCTAGAGAGGGAGAAACACGTTTTGCTTTACAACCTTACAACCTCAGCTTAAATACTCAACATAATTTGCATTTTGGTGAAGAAATGTAAAGAGAGGTGACAGTAAAGCTCTAAATCATAAAATAACTCATTATTCAAATAATAGTAACCTTACAAAGTTTCTAAAGCAATGTATTACGTACTTTGGTACAGAATACTTCATTCTTTTTATTAATATAAAAAAATCAACTACATAAAAAATCTATCGGAACTTTTATTTTTTGCCTATGTAAAATTGCCAGAACCATTTTGAGGCATTGATTAAAATCTTAACTGTTTTGCACCAGCTCAAAAGGAAGGGAGTAATATTTTTACGCTTGTTGTTATTGTCTTATACCGAGCTTTAACGACTTGATTAGAAGGCCGTATTATCAATGTAGTAAGCAGTAATGGCGTTTTTAAAACTCGGAAAGTTTTCTGGGTAAAGACTGAATGAAACTGGACTAAAATAGCATCTTGAAGAACCCTAGATTTAATCATCTTAATAACGGAATACTCAGCAGAAGTTCTAATCAAAACTTCCTTTTCTTGTATATAATTAGGAAGAATTTTGTCATAGTCGGAGAACCTCTGTAGCCGATGAGAATAAACAGCAGGTCAGTGTGCCCTGCTTATTAATCGCGTTTTTAACAATCTAAGAAAGAGTGTCGTCATTGTTTAGTTTTTGTCAAAATTTTCATTCATTTTTTTCGAAGTTTATCAGATTTTTTCAACTGAATGATCCTGTCTGAAATCAGATTGCATGGTTTAAGCTGATATGTATCAAAAACAGCATTCCATTCTTTATTGGATAATTCGTTCAAACATAGTCATGGAAAGAAGAAGTGTTATGAGTGCCAATATCTTGAGAGACTTTTTGGCGGGTCTTTTTAACGGCTCGTTTGGTCTTTTGGGAGTCTTTTTAACAGCTTAGACGACAGCTGTTTTCCCAGGCATCACGAAAGAAGGAATTAAAGATATTAGTGGCTTTTTTTTTTTTTTTTTTTTTTTTTTTTTTACAATCTGTAAATTTTTGTTTGGAACGTGGTCAATTCAGCTTTTCTGGGTTTTTTAAGCTACTTTCGACGATAATATAAACTTCTCAGGTAGTTATAGGTTGAATACGCTAATTTTTTTATCGCATTTAAAAAGATTTTGCTTGTCCATCAATCCTTACATCTTGACGATCGGACTGATATTCATTCTGAAATTGTTTCTTGAACTGATTTGCGAATATTTCCGCAAACTGTTTCGGACAAATAAATTTGTGTGTTTACTGAAATCGTGTTAATGCTGCTAGAGTTATTTTTTGATTTGTTCAGTAACTTTCCATATCGAGAATGTCCGTGTGTGAGGCTATTAATGAAATTTTTCCAACTTCGATGTTCCTAAGAATTTGATTTCACTGCCTGATTTTTTTGGTTATACATATTAAAAAGAACGAAAACTTTAAAAAGTGGTTCTTGATTAGTATTGCCATTGCGCGAAGCATAAAACCTTTAATATATCTTCATGCATGTGTCCTTTGGCAGCGCATTGTCATTTCTCAGAATGCTGCGATTCGTCAAAGCGAAAGATCTTGATTTATGATTCAAAATCTTATTTAGAAAGTGGATGATTTAAAAACAATACATACACTTCTTTAGGATTTACATTTTTTAAAAATATGTCCAACTGATATAAATAAAATGCTTTTTATTACATTATACCCCACTGATAAATTTTATGAGCATTTGCAATTTATTGCAACTAATTACATATGTTTGTGTTACCATATGTTAAACATCTTGCGAAATTTTTTTTAATTTATGATATTTCGCCTTTTTTTTAAATTTTTATTTTTTATTGTTAATGATAAATTCTTCTCCGAGATGTAATCAGATTCTCATTCCTTTGCTCTTCCAACATGTTCCTCCTATGGTTCCTTTGGCAACCTATATAATCACGTAGAAGAAGGATTTGGTTATTTAGAAGTTGCCAGTGATACCTCTTCTTTTAAGATGAGAACTTGATAATCCATCCCGTTATATATAAGTACGCTCCATTCAAATTATTATTATATTATTTACACATGCCTAGCTTTTGGCACATAAGCCTTATTCATTATGAATTTAAAACGGGACTTTCAAAGTATTTTCAATCCGTAAAGTCACAGTCGATAAGGTTGAATAACTTTGCTTAATTTAAAAGTTGTGCTTCTCCCACTGCCTAATATTTATAAAATAATCAAAATTTCAATAAAATAAAATAGATAACAACATTCGTATGTTAGCAAACGGTATATTTCTTTGAGAAAGCGGTCAAAATTCTTTCGGAATTCTCAAATGTAAAATGCTTACTGTCCCTGTAAAGGGAGCAGGTGGTGAACACGTAGCCGTAACACAAGGCACTTTCTCTTGATTTGGAAGTAAACATCGTCTGCTTTCTCACCTCTGAATTTTTTTGTGACCCCTGCCGCTAGACGACCTTTCTCCTTTACCCACTGTAAGCACCTCGCGGTTCTATTTCTTCTTTTTTTTAATTTTACTTTTTTATCTCCCCCTCATTCGAACACTATATTTTTTTTATTATTTTTTTTACGTTACTCTCTCTCCCTTGAACTGAATCAGCAGAAGGCAGATCAAAAGATTTCGGTAGCCAAACATTCTAACTCCTCCCCGTCTCGTAAGGGGAAACCGTCTGCAAGGTGGCACGAAGTAAAATCGTTCCTCATCCCCTCTCTCCTTCCCCAACATTTCGGGATCAACTTTTTCTTTTCTGCAAAAACTGCCCCAGACCAAAAATTCCTTTTCTTCTGTAAGTTGCACATTTTTTTTTATCCTTCCCTTCCCTTAATGCAATTTCTTTCTTCTTTTTAAGCTCATTTTTTTTTTCTTTTCAATACGAATGTTTCATTGAACTTTCGTTAGATAACAAGTATGGAACGGACAGGTCTGGAAATTTGAGCTGTTAACTGGGGTCTGGCTAAAAAGAAGGCAATGTCGTGTATCAGAACAATTGTCATTTCAGCTCTGTTTTGAAAATGCTGGAGACAGCATGTAAGGATCATTTAGTGAACATGAAATTTAGTTTCATATCCACAAAAGTCGAGTTGAGTTTTATTTTTACGGGAGCCATGTATTAATTACAATTCTATATGCTCATTTTTGGATTATTACGAATAATCAAGGGTTAAGTGTACTTGGATGTAACATTATTTTATTCTTTCTCTCTTTTATACTTGATAAATAGCACCGTAGTGTATTTTTGAACATTTATTTACAATTAAAAATTGCATTAACTTATAAATAATTTAAGTGCACGATATTGAAACCTCTATAGCGTATTTAAAAGTTATTCTTGTAACTGGTAGCATAGTGATTTAGTTACTGCAGTTAATGGCTCGATCGTGATTTTTTTTATATACAAGAAGAAGCTACTTGTAAATAATAATATTTATTAAAAATACAATAAAAATTGCAGCAGTTCATATAATTACAAAGCACTTTTGATTTTTTAAAGATTTTGATTTCAGAAATACACTTCTTTTAAAGCAGATCTTTGAAATATATATAACTTATATAAAAAATCCTTAAACTACAGTATTTACATGAATTACCTTTTACAATAAATGAAAACCGTTACCATATAATTAGAAGAACACAAAATAAATATGCAATAAATATATCATTTGTACATTTAATTTTATGCAGAATTGTTTTATTTCTATATCCTAAAATGTTAACACACTGCCTTAACATTATAAAACAGCATTAAATTTGAAATTCATATTTGCATAGAAAATTTAAATGAAATCATGAATACTTTAGCATGTAAAATTTTTCTAACAGTTTTTTTAAATTAAAATATTTGTTGTTTAATTTATTTTATCAGAAAATTATTCAAAACTAGAAACAAATATGAAATTCTATGTATATTCGTACAACCATGTATAATGTTTAAAAAAGAAGTCAAATTTAACTCTAAATTAGCTATTCCGACAAGGCCTTGGAAACTACAGTCCTTAGAATTCGATTGAAGCTATGCTTTACAGTCGCTTTACGATAATAACTTCAATGTTCGAATTTAAAAATGAAAAAAATCTTTGATAAACCGTATACAGACAGAATAATAAAATCGTCGTTCAGTTTTATAAAACTTGTCTAATCGATAAGGCACGTGTCATTCTTAATATTTTATACTTTTAGTTTCGAAAAATTTGAAAAGATAAAATATGTCAGGACATTCTAGAAAAAGAATTTTTCAATAAAAATCTCCAAAAATTCGATTTCAGCATCGTACGTAAATAAAATTAAGTAAAATAAATAAAATATCTTTTGGTGGAATTGCTATAAAAAATTAAACATCAAGTGGATTAATCGAAGTAAAATAAATTCATTTCTTCGGATATCAAAATATGCGTTAGTGGAGAAATGATGCAAAAACTCAAATTTTATTAATCATATTTAAACAGAAATTCTTTCGCGGTGTGAATTCCTGAAAATTTTAAGTTGTTTTCCGAGGTTTCTTCAACATCAGGTGTTACCCCGAACATCAGATAAAATGGGAATTTCAGGTTTTTTCCAGAAATTTCTTAAAATTTCTTTTCTAATTGTAAGACATTTTGCTAAGCAATTTTAATATTGGCTTTCATTAGCATTTATGCAAAAAACACACTGAAAATTAAACTTTCTGTAAATACAAGCAACAGCTTTGGACCTTGAACCAAGATTCCAAGTCATAGGCAGTTAAGAATTTTTATATTGTTATCAGTGATTTACAGCCTACTGTTCAATGAATTAGCAGATTGACAACTGTCTTCCTACAAGCGGCCCCGTTTGTAATTGAAAAACCCATTTCGCAGGAAAAAACTATTATTTGGTAAAGTGGGTGTCTTATCATGATCAATTTAAATCATTCAATTAAGGCCTTTCAGATCAAGACCTTTCAGATGAAGAATTGAATGTATTTATTTTCAATGACACTTCTATGTTCGAAGATAAGAAGCCAAATAAATATATATAAATTTCATTACTGAAAAGTTACTGCAAGAGAATTTACACAGTGTGAAACTTTATTAGATTTCTGGAATACTTTTCAGTACCGATAAAAAATGTCAGTGCTGAACGAATCTCTTCCAAATTAAAATCGTGTTAATAGAATAGTAGACAGAGCATTAAATCGGAAAATTTAAGTAGCTGGTAATATAAAGTATTAAGAAAATCATCCATTTAAATGGAAATCATGATTATAAATGTGAGTATAATTTTTTGAATTATGTAGTATAATGTTTATATAGGTATGCACTAGGATATTTGCATAAATTTATGGTATACATTTCTTTTAAATGCCATTTTTATTCTCGGAGCGAAATTTTCGCGAAATTAATCATGTAATCACAAACCACGAAACTTCCGCAAATTTCGAAGTTCTTCTCACAACTGACTCGCGAATTTTGACTTTTTTTCTACGATAAAATTACTGCATTATTTATATTCATTGTATTCTCTGTTAATTATTCTTTAAACATTCCTCATAACTGAAGCTTCTCTAAAATACATTTATGAAGTACATCGTTTGGCAAATTGCATCTCTTTCGTATTTTTTCTGCGCTTTCGATTTAGCTTTGTCCCACCTGAAGGTGATTATTTTAGTATATGAATTTAGAAATTAAAGCTCTTATTTCTATTACATACTTTAGGTACATCAATCATACTTCCTGATTTTCTCCTTCATTAATTCTTGCTTTAAAATATCGTAATGCCTTTTTTACTATACATGTAGGTAGAATAAATTCCTGTAATAATTCGACTTTCTTCGTTCGTAATAATACGATAACAAATACTCAGGTACACAACGTCATTGCTTTTTCTCTTAAGGCCTTCCAGTTCTAGGGTTTCAATAAACAGCTTTTCGATGTCATTTGTGTTCATATTTAATGAACAAACACATTTTAAAAGCATAATTTTAGTGGTTCGAAAATCATATTTACCAAGGTCTCCAAATATACTGCGAAGCCTCCCCTTGATTATTTTGATCTGATCTCATAACTGAATCCCCTTCACTTCTTGAACAGTTCTCTTCAGAACTCGTATCTGAAAAGTTACTGGACACAGGCGAAGCGACACAATTCTGTCTCTGTCGTTGTACATATGTGTTATTCTTCATCTTACTGCTAGGCCAAACCAAGCGAAAAGCGCTGAAAGTTTGCGCAACATTATTTTCATCAGATATTAAATTAGCTGGCAGAACTAGAGCCCATTCACCATTGGGCAAGCGCTTAGGCACAAGTGGTATCTGTTGTAAATGGTTACAAAATCCTTCGTCACTTTCTCCCTTCTGTTCCCAAAATGAGTTGCCTTCATCGTCACAAAGATCGGATGAGTTCTCTAACATTTGCTGTTCTATAAAACAAGGATTAAGCCTTTCTCTTGCATAAGCCATGGAATATTGTACTTTAGACGATCCATCAGACTCCAGTGATGACGTCGAAGCTCTCCCTTTATCTAATTCGTACATATCCGACGATGAAGCAAGTCTAATATTCTCATTCAAACTCTCGGGGGAGGAAGATCCAACCGTTGTGAAGTTAGGAGCATTTAAGGTCGATGATACTGACTGTCTATTGAAGGCAAAAACATTATCATGTTCGTTTTCAGTATGATGATTATCAAGTCTATTTACTACAGCATCAAATTTTGTAGATTTTGCTAATAAAACTTGGTCTGAGCAATTTATGACATTACTTTGTGGCGGCGGAGAGTTTTCGTTACTCCTGAACCCAGACGAAGACGGGGATGAGTTATCATACATTTCATCTGAATCATCTTTCTTGCCACATTCCACAAGAGGCTCAATGTTCCGGATGTCATGAAGCCTTCTGCACAGGTGATCTTTGAGTCGTCTCTGAAGTTCAGCTTCAAGACCAGACAACTGGGGATCCATCAGATTGGAAAGGAAAAGATCCACCTCTCGGGCACACTCCGAGTATCCTATCTCGAATTTTTTCTTCGGATGATGAGCATCTATTAAGGAAACTAAATAAACAGAAAACTATTAATGACAAGAAGTATAAGGAACAATGCTCAGTTAGATAAAATTATTAACACTAACATTAATTAATAATATTTATTTCAATAAATTAGTTACTGGTTCCATGTGCTTAAAATTTAGAGCTCTTTATTACTACGTGTTGCTTATTATTATTATTACCATGTATTAAGAGAACTACTGTATTACTTACTACATTCTATATACATGCATTAAGGCAGAATGTTAGGCCTTCATTCATAAGAAGAAGAATCCAGTTTCAAAGTTTTCAGATATGTAGGGAAAAAAAGCACATTTTTCAAGTCAAAACACGCAAGAAAATTTATTCACTTCAAACTTTTTATCAAATCTTCTTAAACTACAGAAGTTTCTTTGAAATCATGGCTACTTCCATATTTTTTTAATTCGCCTGGAAATGTTTCAGTTTTTAAAAACGTTGGCTGAATTTTCTGCATTTACAGAAACATGAAAAGCAAAAGTTCTTTCTCAAAAAAGAGATTCATTGGAAGTGTAAAACTTTAAAAAGTTTCTTAGTGTCTTTGGAAGACCTTTTAAAAATGACATGACTACACTGAGAGTAAAGTTAGCCTGGAAACACTGACGGAATCAGTTTACTTCTATTTCTTAGATACTTTCTCGTGCTGAGTGTTCTCTGAAACTGATGTATCACCCGTTAGGGTATTTAGTGTTGACTATTGTTGCATTTACTTCATTATTAAAAACCAAACTGGCTTTGTTTATCGATTTACAAGCAATTATCTTTTATTTTCCTTTTATTAGGAAAGCGGCAAGTTCATATAATTTGGTAAAATATATAAAAAAAAAATCAAATGAACAATCTTTTATAATACAGGCATATATGACCAGAAAATGAACAATATCAGTCCACAATGACAGGTTAATTTGTAGTTTTTATGTTTTACTTTCAGAAAACATATATAAAAAAGCAAAATTAGGCATATATAAAAAGCAAAATTAGATTATAAAAAAGCAAAATTAGGCAGATAGGATAATTAACAGTACAGTATATCAAAACGAGTTTCCAAAGATTAGAATTCAAATTGTAGGAGGTAGAAGATAAAGAAAAAGGAGACAAAGACCTGGAACAAAGCTATGTGTGTTATGCAAATTATAAATGTTTGTTATGAAGAAGTAATTTCGAAAATTAGTTATTTAAAGCAAAACTAATGTCTTCGTGAACAGAGTGTGACATTAATATAAGAGTTCATTAAATTCAGTCAGCGCTAAGCTTTCATTTCAAACGCTGACTACTCTTCTAATTTCTATCAGCTTCTTACAAGAGGTGTCACTTGCAAGGAATGAGAACAGAGTATTTGAAAATGTACAATGATAAGTGAAAATGAAATGTCTAAATCTATTCCGGTATCTGTCTCTCTCAAGTTTCGGATTTCATTCCTGTCGACGCTGCTTATTCGAATACGTAATTGGGAACAGGAAGATAAAATTTTTATGTCGAGATTTATGTTGAGACAAAAGACCCGATAGCGGCCTCCCGCCAATCTGTCCTCATCATTGCAACACCGAGCACGTCTTAATTATTGTCATAACAGAGTGCGAAAAATGGCTGTTTGATATCATAGTCTCGTTTGTCATGTCACTTGATGAGCGGCTATTTGTCAAAAAGAGGATGGTATGTAAAAGCGTGAAATTACACCTTAAAGGTGGCAATTACAAAATGGCGGATTTATTTTAGGCTCTTCACCCTCGTTATTATCCGTAATGTTCGAAGTAAAACATCGCATGCAGAGAGAAAATGAATTAACTTCCGACTTTCCCAGCTTCATGATTTTACTGGATCTCAGAAAACGTTTGGATTTTTCAATATATTACCGAATTCGAGAGCTGCGTTTGCATTAACAATAAGGCCTTTTTAAATGCGAGCTAAGAATGGATGCCTCAAATTGAAAAAAATTAGCTTTGAGACTGAAAATGCTATTAAATAGTGAGAAAAAATCTGAATTTTCCGTAAGAAATAATTTTTTTAATACTTCGGATTAAACTAACTTCTAATACGAAAGATCTGGAAAGATTTTGTAGACTGCAGGAAATTATATTTATTTTGCCACGTTAGGTAATACTTGTAAATTATAATTTAAAATCACCAACTACTGCTTAAATGCCATAAAGTCTTTTCTACTAGACCAAGGACACACAATAGATTACTGAATACCGGGGGGCATTAAACTAAAATTATGTAATATATTTTGAAAATTAATAATATTTTTTAAAGTGCATAAATTTTTTATGCAATAAGTGCAATATAATGAAATATCTGATGTGGATATCGCATGACTTCCTTCATAAATTATACACTTTTTAGCTGCACTTCATTCAAACTTATTTCCTTTTCTTATTTAAGTAATTCAAGTCTCACTTCGCGACATAAAAACTCAATCTTATTTGATATAAATAAAATAATAATTAAATAAAATAATAATTATTTTATCAATTAAAAACTGTAAAATAAAATAATAATTAAAAAAACTAAAACATCAAATGCAGGTAAAACAATTAATCTTTTTTACAACTAAAATTAGAGTTTCTAGCCAAAAACAAGCAATTCGGCCACCTGGTAGGAAGACAAATTTTTCGATGCACAAATTGGAAAGTTTACTTTTGGACCAACTCCACAAAAAGACACTGTTGTTGGTGCGCCAACTCGCTTGATTCAATATTCTATTAAACGTTTCAAATAAACAAATGGCAACCTCGTTAGGCTTAGCGCCACTTAGACCTTTAAATTGTTGATAATTCTATATTCTTTATTCTATTGCAAGTAGATTAACTAAAGGCATAAAAACCTTAAGAAGAACATAATCCAATCACTTTTAAAGCAAAAATTGCACAATTTACGAACAACATAAGAATAAAAAAACTGAGCTCACCGAGCCGTGTAACAGAGTGGCAATATATATATATATAGTAGCAAGACAGCATGAATTAGAGAGAGAGACCTTAGTGGTCAAGAATTTTGCGCATTGAGCTGCAAAATTTAAAATTTTATAAGTAAAAGGAATGTTTAAAAGCTAATGCTAAAAAATACATTTGACACTATAGTTCCTTAGCAAAAATGTAAAATCATGTAACAACTAGAAACAATATTAAAGTAATAAAAGCTATCTCGTAAAAACTAAATGTAAAAATTACGAATCAAAATGACTTCAAAATCAAAAAGGGTGAGAAAAAAAGAAATTTTAACGCACAAATAATTTAAAAAGAACTCTTGTAAAAATTAAATACATTTCAAATACACAGTAATTATGTACAAAAAATTGCAATAAATGGTAAATAGCTCAACTCGAGGTTTGAGCCGGTTTTATCAAGGGAAAGCAGCTCAAAACCCGAATTAAGTTAATACCTACATCGCGTTTCGTCAAACGATGATAATTGAGACTACATAAACGTAATTTCACTAATAGAATAATCCAACTTAATAATCTAAGAAAGTTATATATATATATATATATTGCCGCTGACTACAAGGAAAAGGGAGCTGCACAACTACATGTTATAGCAGTCCCCATATACAAAATTTCCACCTTCCTCGGCTACTAGTTTTTGAGTTATATGAGATACATACGTACGTATGCACAGACGTCAGGAAAAAAATCTCTTCCGGATCCATTTTACAATCCGTTCGAGAATAAACAGTGCTTTGTTCTGTCCGTACGTACACATATCACGCAAAAACATCTTTAAATAGATTCGAGAGCGGTCAAAATGACGCAAAAGTCATTCAGGTGTATTTGAGAGTGGTCAAAATGGATATTTTAGTTAAAATATGATACCCGAAATTTTTCGCAATTATAATACTTTCTTTACTTTATACTAAAATGTCTGAAAGACTTGTTTTTTATCAACGCTGAATCTAAAAAGGTATTACATGATTCTAATAACTTAGTAGAATAGTCACTTATTGAAGAGAACTGTATTTCCTCGGAACATACATTATTATATACAATCCATTCGCAAAAGTGAAAAGAAGATTTTTAATGTTCACTTCCAAAACATTGAAAATGTGAATGTACCCGCATGTGTCATAACCGCAGAACCGCTGACGTGCAGTATCTTGATATTAGGATGCAAGAAGGATTGATTGCATTAGAGAAACGTGTTCAAGCACAAGTTCTATTCAAAACATAGGAAACCGCTCAAACTTTTTAAATCTTCGTACTTTTGTTTGTTACTTAAGCTTGGTACGTTTTCTGTTCAGTTTCAACTTTTTCCCTACTACTTGTGGATCCAAACTGAAAACTGAAATAAACTAATAAAAATTTACCGAAAAAAAAAAATATTCCCATTGCCAACGAGATAAAATACGGTATGCGCGATTATTAACAACATTAGCCTCTGGCTACTCGCGAAACGTCATTGCGTTGCCAGATTTATAATAGAAATGGAAACGCAAATAATTAGTTCATATTTTGCATCATTTTTTACTTCCTCAAACGATCCATACCGGAAATGTTGCGTCTGGAATGTGATTTGCAAGCGATTCATGTTCGAATATGAATTGTTCATATATAAATAACTTTGTTCGGGCCAGAAATAGAAGCAACAGAAGTAAGAAAAAATACGTTACACACGGAGAAAACCAATAAAACCGCCCATGCAGCTAGCCCGTACGCCAACCGGCAGTAGGTTGGAACTACCAGTATTAAGCGATTTTACTGCTCGGCCACTGGTGGGCCTTGAATTTTCAGGAAAAGCAGGAAATTAATTGATATTAGTTAAGCAGAACTAAGTGATGTTTAAACTAGGCTAGTTTACAAGCTTCCAATCTATAAGATAATTTTGTCTATAATGCTACGAAAATGAACGTACCTTTGGAATAAACACATGAACTCTGGTGGAAATCGCAAAAAAGTTAAACGACTAAGCTTTTAGAGGCAAAAATAATTAACAGGTTTAACTGGAAGAGAAACACAGTAATGTAAAATTTGAAATTAGACAAAAAAGAGCTTTAGATTGGCGTAGATTTTAAATAAAACGTTATCAATTTCGAGGGCGATCAGACATAGATCCCTCTTCTTCACGAGTAAAAAAGATTTGCTTTTTGCCTAATTTTAAATTAACCAGGTATCTAAATTTTTTATATAAATTAAAACAGAATTTTTTACCTCCCCAAGCATATTACTGCCAAAGCTGTTTCGTTACTTTTATGGTTAACTTAAATTCCAAATGTGATACCACCGTTATTTAATAAAACATAAATAGTATTCTCGTTAATGTGTTTGCAGTTCTGAGGCAAGTACCAATTATCTCCTGGGTGTGGTTCTAAATTTATAACACACCAGTGACTGCATTCGAGAGACAGAGTTGAGTTATTTTCAGTGTAAGCGGTGGTAACATAAAAGAAGATCTTGAGCTTTAGTAACTTCAGTATCATCTATTCTCTCGCCAGCCCTACCTTCTTTTATGGAAGTTTCTGACCATCAGCTCTGCTATCGCTACTTTGTATCAATGTGTATGAGACCGTTGCAGTTGACACTAATTGCTACTAACATATTGCGCTACTTGCATCGCCTCCCGGCATCAAGATTTACGGAAGGTTTATTACCTATTTAAAGAGAAAGTCAGTTAAGTCCTGAAGAAAGCAGCAGGAGTGGCTATGGAATTCAAAGAAGAGTTTGTTTGGTACTTCAACGTGATAGAATGTGTAAATAGCTAAAGCAGTTTTCTGCGTTTGTTTAAAAAGAAAGAGACCTTAAAAGCAGCCTGATACAGAACCACTGGAATAAACTAACTGAATTTTTATATGTTTGTTCTAAGCTCTTTTTATTTTGCATTTGAGCTGTTCATCTCAATCGACTTCGTATGTGTTTGAACCGACATTTACCAAAGTTCGTCTTTATTATTATTTTCTTCCTCCAGGGATTAGGGCACTACCATACTTAGCTGAATATGTTGTGTAACTCCTTTTCTGCCCTTACTAGTATAAGGATTAGCGACGTTAGTTCCCTATCATTGAAACCGGATTGAATTTTTTTCAAGTGGATTGTGTCTGTGCGGCATGGGGCACTTAAAATAAAAGTGAGCCGAAAGTCCACTCGAGAAGCTGGGTTGTAGTAGAAGAGGAGCGGGAGACGCTAGGATTCGTCCCCCCCCCGGGGTGTCTCTATCAAAATTACGAGGAAGTTGTACGGTAAGCGTACCTGTAAAACCACTAGTGACGTTTTGATGTCCCCCCCCTTCTTTCTGTCCCATGCTATTCCTTTGTTTTCGTCTTCCGTTTTATTTAGCTTTCGTTTCTAACTTCCATCCTCATTAAGCTGTTACTTAGGTAATGAGTTCTTGAACTTCTTTATTAGGTCTGAAATTAATTTTCGATTAATGAATCTAATTACCAATTTAAAGCCTTTATGTTGCAAGCATATATGTGTTAAGATATACTGTACCTTGTGGCGAAATTTTTTCCCAATTTGTATATCTCTCAATAAAATTAATTTAAGGCGATTATGATTTAATAAATATCTTTTCGAACTGTTTCCTAAGAATACTCATAAGCATGAATTTTAAGCTTTTAGTATTAAAATATGTTTTCACGAACAAGGAATCTGCCTTTTCTGCCCTCTCCAAATTAATTTTTTGAGGGGGGGAGCAAGAGAATTGAGTACTCTTGCGAGTTAAAAAAAATGCTCTAATTTTATTGCTTTCACGTGCCATATTGAGATTAAATTGTCAAAAAGAAAAATTCAAAGCCACTTTTGCCACTTGTAACAAGTGTAACAAAGCATACATAAAATAAGTCTCTAGGTCATCTAAATTATATATAACTGTATCATAATGCATGTTAGTACCGAAATAGTTAAATACTGCAGCAGAATAAAAACATTATTTTACTCTATAAATATGCGTAATATGTTGAAAAAGAAAGTGCTATAGAAAAGAACTACATAAATGCCGCTCAGACGCCATTGTGGTTAGGGGAGCGTGCTGCGGTACCGAAGGGCCTGGGTTCGTATTCTGGAGAAGGCATGGCTGTTGTTTGTCCGTCCTTTTCATAAGAGGTAACGGTGGCCCACTTATCCATCATTTCCGGCCTTAGTAGTGGCCAAGCCTAAGTCGGCTAAGGGCCCGCCAATGGGGGAAAAAAAACAAAAAGTATAACTCCAACATAATTTTTCATTGATTTGAATATTTTGTAAATGAAATATTTATTGAAAACTTTGTCTTTTAATATTTTTAACATAGGTATGGAAATAACCAAGAACATTTACTCTTGATTTTGATTTAACTTACTAAAAACTAATAATAACTTGATAAATAAAAAAAGAGCTTAATGGATACATTTAATGGACAACACACATTATTTCATTCCTCAAAAGTTGAATCTGTATCAGCAGAGAAGTTAGTTTTTCATATGCGCGTCATCATTTTAAAACCAAAATATAATGACAAAAATAATAAATAAAAATTTCACGATGTGAGAACATAGACTGAAGAAGCATTTAAAACTGAAATTAGAACCATTAAATAAAATGGCATTAGTCAAAAATATCTCGGCAAAAATATTTCGGGCGAAAACAACACAAAAGGAAACCATTGTGGTGCAACACATGGTAGAAGAACAGAAAGCAAGGAGAGAACATCGCCGTTATAAATTAATATTTTTTTACTGAAAAGGCAAGGAGAAAATTTAAGCATTCAAAGTCTCAGAATGTATAAAAATTAAAGCTATGTATAGCAGTTGATAAATTCTTAAACTTACTTAATAAAAAGTCATTATTTGATAATCTTTTTCTAGAAAGCTCTATTAATAAATTTTCATGAAAATTATAGCACAAAAAAATTAGGAAAAAAATAATAAAAACTACATGGTGCTTCTTATATTAAGACTGTTTAATTATCATTGTCTGCGATGTCATCGTGTATGCGATGATTTGTAGGTGCTTTTATTTTTTACTACAATATTTTATACAACGACGTTTTAAAACTGCGAAATTTTTAACTGTTTTTTTTTTCCTACGATAATGCTTTATACCAAGAATTGCTATATTTTCTCCTTTCTTTCTTTTCTCCTTGGATGTTTTGTAAGACGATGTTTTACTCTTGAGTTGTTTTCTCCACAACCATGACACGTTTTCATTATACTTATATTATTAAACACAATACTCACAATATGCGAGAATTAAAACTATTGCTTTAAACTTCAGGTATTTTTGAAAATTCCTTTCGATGGAACAGAAACTCTGTTACTCCTTTTTACCCTCTTTCACACAAAATTGACACAAAAGTATTTCACGTATAGTCAAGTTAACAGCATAATACAAAAAATACTTCTACCTTAATTCCGGTTTTACATTTCAGTTTCATTTTTAATATCTTTAGCTATATAAAATATATGTACAATCACCTGTTCTTTGTCGTCGCTTGATTTCATGTAAGTGTCGAACAGTAAGCTCTAAAATGTCTGCTTTTTCCAACTTCGTTTGTCTTGACCTCTGAAAGGCATACAGTGAGAATTAAAACACTGATTAAACTAAATACGAAAATTTTCTTTCATTTGTAAATTGCTGCGAAGGAATAACACTTCATTGAACATGGTAGCTACAACTGTGCTTTCGAAATTCATAATTCTTTTTAAACATAATATTTAATTTTTTCTTTCAATTCAACCAACTGTACATTTGTTGTAATAATTCCAGCACTATTTGCAAGAGCTCAAAAATTATTATAAACTTATCGCTGATAATATTAATTTTTTAAAAAATGAAATACATCACATGAAGTTGCAATAAGAGTTTCGTTCTTATAATATCATAAGCGTACACAATAAAATGCAAATGGTTAAAAGACTACATATTGTTACGAATTTTGTACTTAGGTAATGTTGTGAAATTATAAGTAAAATTGTTGTATTTCTTTTGTATAATGTAATATGAAAAATTCAGAGACGAGCTTTGCCGAAAAAGTAAGAATACAGGGGTATATGGACCATTTATCATGAATAAATGGGTATCTCGGTAGTTTGGCGAGATCGCCAAACTAACTACGATTTTGGCAACTAATTTTTGTCGCCAAATTTGGCAAGAAATCGCAAAAAGTTGCCAAACGGCGACCATTTGGAGGCATTTGGGTTCGATCCCTTTATCACCGTAATAGGTATTGTAATTGAATAAATGTAATTGATCACTATTAACTAGAACCGTAATTCGACCCACATGTTGCCTTCCAGTAGCAAGTACTAGAAATATATCGACGGCTGGTGGAAAATATATAAGGTCGGAGCGAGCATCTGTCCAGTTTAGCTTCGCTCTTTAGCTGTGGTTTGTATTGCGTTGTGTATAACGTTCTCAGAAATTTCAAGTGTAACTACTGATTGAACTCCGTGATATAGTGAACACAGGTACGATTATTTCTGTGGAAAGTTCCAGAACTTTCTTTTGATAATTTTTATCAACCTATCATCTGACCTGTGTTCATTCATTATATTGATAACCCATATGCTCACAACAATATAGCTATTATTGAGCATACAAAATTCTTAAAGATTTTTTCCCACAGCTTTAACCATCGATTTTGAATGTTTTAGCACTTTACATATCTTAACATATCCTAATTTTAAGGTTCTATATAGACATTCCATACAGACATATATATCGATATACGCAATAATTTATGTTCTGGGGGAAAGATTTTATAATAGAGTCTTGGATATGTAAATTCTTGTTCCATAGGGTTTGAATGTGATTGTGTTTAAAACTGTTAAAACAGAAAGTTATAATTTGCTCTTTAGTAGCAGTTACTTGAATTTAAAGACTAAAATACGTTAACAACTGAGATACGCAATTACCTCTGTAGTATTCGGATCCACAACAAGAGACTTGAGTTGCGCCAAACAATGGTTAATTCTGGCTCGTCTCCTCTTTTCCATCAGAGGTTTAGATGCCTGAAATAATGCAAAAATACCTACTCTATATTCAATCATCAATAAAATTTTAATTAAAAAATTTAAATGCAAGATATTTTTACGAATTTTGCACATATGTCAATAATTTTAGTGAAATCATATGTAAAATAGGAGTATGTTTTGTATAATGTAACATGAAAATCTGAAGAGGCGAAGCTTTGCCGGAAAAATAAGATTACAAGGGCAAGTCTGTTTAACACTAAGTAAATGGATAATCTATTAAATTAAACGTCCATATATGTCGCCAAGCTGGTGATGGTTTTTGTGACCAATTTCGTGACCAAATTTGGAGAGAAATAGTCAAAACTCGCCAAACTTGGCGACCATTTGGGGGCATTTTGATCAGGTCCACGTATAATTGTAATTGTATAACTGTAACTGTAATTGTAATTTGTAATTGGTTCTGTGCTTGAATAAATGTATTAATCTAGATATGTAACTGCAACCGTATCTGGCTCTCATATGCCTTCTAGCAATTTCGAGAATTGGAAGATACTCAAGATTTCTGGCCTACCGGGGGGAATACTACTTAAGATCGGAGAAAACAACAGTTTTTCAGTTGTTTAGTTAATTACTTCGCATTTTAGATGCGCTTTACATTGCGTTGTGTTTAACGTTCTTAGTATTTGAAGTGTAATCACTAATTCTACTCTCTAATACTGAGAAGAGCTGTATGAGTATTTTTGTAGAAAGTTCGAGTTGTAAAGGGTTATTTTTAGTCGGAAGGGGCTTTGTCCCTAAAGGACTGTTGTTTTCGTTTTGCGATTTTGCGTCGAAAACTTTAAAAGGCTGTATCGCTTTTTAAATCGTTGCCACCAAATACTGTCGCCCTGTCCTATATTTGAAGAAATTAAATAATGAAGAATCTGCATAAATGTATGTATGTTTCTCGCATTGTGATAAAACAACGGTACCTAGAGCCATCCAATTTTGAATGACGTAATCCTACTGCGAATATGGGCACCTGAAAGCCCAAATTTGAAATTTGGAATTTATTTTACTATCGATTTCATGTTTTGTAAACCTTTAACGAATTTTCGATTAACAAACTCAACGATTTCAAAGCGAGCAATGGCAACACTACAGAGGAAAAAAAAATGTTTTTATCTTCAGCGCGCAGAACTGTGTATTGGAAATTGTAAAGATATGCTCCTTTTAAAAATTATTTTGCGACATTGCTGTTGAACTGAATTTTATGGTTTAAGTGGCAAAGAGCATGATATTTAATAACTAAAAAAGTAACGTACAAAACGTTAAAAAAACGCCCCTTTGGACGTAATTTAAAATCTGAAACCATACAGATTTGTTTTATTTTTTTTTTTTTATTTGTAAAATATATTTTTTCGAGTTATTATCAAGCTACCATCCTGTGTGCATTCAATCTAATACGAACTTGTATGTACAAGATAGTATTTTGGTGTCAGACATCTCCGCAGTTCGATCCATTAGACAATACTTTAACTGATTTCCAGGAAATTAACTGTAACGTCATTCAGCCTACCACGATTGGACGACATCTGCATATCGATAGGTTCAGGTTTCGGGCTTGAACAAAGCAAACGCCCTAGAAATTTTACTTCATTCAACTTATGCAATTACCCAGCATGTCTAACAGCGAAATGAGTTGAATTCTCCAAATTTCTAGTTAAATGTTGATTATTAGAAAGTTCAAATACTTTGGTAACACTACATTACTGTTTTTACTTCCTTGTATGAAGTAAAGAAAGTAACGTAATGTAATGTAATATACGAGTGTGCTGCAATCTTCCTGATCGATAAGAAAAGTAAAGAAAGGATAGTAATAACTGAAAAATTCGGCTTTCAGATTTCAATGGAAATGTCCATTTTGACCATTTCCGAATACATTCCGACAAATTCCGTCGTAGCATCTATAGGTACTGTCACATTCTTGCCACTAGGTGGCGGGCATCTCTTCCTTTACTTTTGCTGTAATTAAGTTTCGAGAACCAGTCGAGATTGGAACCGCTCTGAGGAGCGTAAAGACTCAGAATTAAAATGTACTGTCTTAAAATAATATCACCTACCTTGTAATAGTGTATATTAGCTTTTTATTTCAATAAATAATTAAAGACAAGATTGCTTGTTAGCAGTAATAGAAACTCTTACTGAAAACGTGATTATTAGAAGCCTGGCGTCGTGAACACTGAAGATGCAGCAGGTAAGGAATTTTACATTAATTTTATTGTAAATAGAAGAACCTGATGCAACAGGTACATATGTCGCATAACTCAAAAACGATTCGGGTTCACCAGCGGTGGAGCGGTAAAGACGTTGAACACTGGTAGTTCGGTCCGAGGTTCGAATCCCGTGAACGGGCTGGCTGCATGGGCGTTTTCCCCATCTGTAACGCGTATACGAGCCAGTTTTCCTTAGAAAGTCCTCCAGGAAGGCATCCTTCTCTTTAGGCAGATAGCCCTCCTGTGTTTTGCCATAATTAAATAATCCAATCTAATCCAAAAACGGTTCGTCGCAAAGTGTCGAATTTTTGTAACGTTTGACTAGTTTCGGCGTGTCGTCTGTACGTACGTATATGTCTCGTAAACTCAAAAATAAGTAACCCTAGACTGTTGGAAATTTCGTATGAGACAGCGATAACATTTAACATCGTTTTACTGCAGTCGGCAGTGAAAAAAGAATGTTTTCAAATGAAAGATCGTATCTGACTTTCAAAATGAGTAAATTAAAATTATTTGCAGCAAAAAATGTGTATAATTTAATAGATGTACACTCTGCACCCACATACCAAAAAAAAGGGGGGGACAGTTTTATATCTCCCGTTCTATTGAGCCGATTGACAAAATTTAATTCGCGTTTTTCATGTCTTGCAAGTACGACGTAGGATTTATATTAGATTTATATATATACTTCTTCTAACATAGGTATTTTGACACAAAATCGCACTTTTTCCGAAATGGCATACCCATATTTTCCCTAGTTTGATTCTACAACTTAAATTATGCCTAGATATTAAATTTTGTAAAGCTTGGCAAGAAATTTACCGAGAAATTGAAAAAATTATCTTGGCGCACTTTTTTCAATTTGCGCCCAGATTGGCCCACTCGGCGAAATTCTTAATTTATGGTAACCTATTTTTTCTTTCTCTTTTATTATGCACGAACTTGAAAAAAATACACTGTATCCTTCATACTCTCAAATAATTTTAAGAAAGTGAGTAAACCGTCTTTGGCGTTATTATCGCTTATACCAAAGATGCCAAATTTCAGAACGCGCCACTATGTAAATTCACGTATATCTTCGGAAATTTTGAATAAAACGCTGTAACGATTTGCATGTATGCTTAGAAATACATTTACTTTAAGATTATGGCACAAATTTTGCAGTTTATAATCGAAAATGTTTTCAAAAATTTTATAAAATTGGCTAAAAAATACAACTTTCAAAAGCAGATCAGAAAAGAGCTACGAATTTTATTTGAATTGAATTTAAATTTCTAGTTGTAAAAGTAGGAACAAGTAAGTTTAATAACAAGAGAGATATATTAATAAGTATATACCAAATTCAATTAACAATTAGGAGCTAAAATTTTGAGAGCTGATTTTTGAAAAACTGCTCGTGCAACTTTTACAAAACTTGGTACTTTGGCATAATTTGAGTCATAGAAACAAAATATGGAAAAAATAGATATGTCATTTCATAAAAAGTCGATTTTGTGTAAGAAAAACCTATATTAGAACAATTGCTATGTATGTATCTATTATATATCCTAAGTCACACTTTCGAGACGTGAAAAAAAGCAAGTTACATTTCTTCAATCGGCCCAGTAGGAGGGGAGATATAAAACTGGGCCCCCTTTTTTACAAGGAAGTCACGCGTTGCCCACATCAGATTTTTTTAAAATTATCTTCATGTTCACTCGACCGGCATTTTCTCTAAGTTTTCTTGTAAGTTATGTGCTACGGAAATACACGTAACGATGTGGTTCGAAAATACTACTGCATCGTGAAAATGTTGCATGATAACCAATGTTCTGTCTAGATGTGTTCTGCAATTGACTAACAGGAAATACAAACCATAATTTCTTACACTCGCAATCTGAATAAAAAATTATAACTTAAAGATTTGTGTACTTCAAAAAATTAGTGAACACACGCAGTGAGGAATATTGTCGGCTACTTAGTTCTGGTTCTTTTCTTCCTGTCTCACCAATGGCAATGCGTTTAGAATTGCTAAATACTGGACGTTCACCCTGAGTTCAATCACAGACAAACGGGTTGGCTGCATGGTTGTTCTTCGTGATTTTCCCACGTGTAACATGAATCCGAGCCAATTTGTCTTAGAAAGTCCTCCCCAAAAGCTCCCTCTTCTTAGGCAGATAGCCCTCAAATAAACTAATAATATTTTCTTTCAGTTTATATTACGCAATTCACTAAAAGTACGTATTAAGGTACTGAGAAAACATTCATGACAGTTTCACTGTACTTTCCTAGTACTTTCTCAATTTTAAGTTCATTTTCACCAATTATAGAATTGAAAGTAAAAAAAAAAAAATCAATTAAAAAAAATAACTAGATGGTACTTTCTGATTGTCCGCAGCCATAGTTTCATTATTCATTAGAGTTGCAGTGTGTTGATCGTATTTTTGGGTACACGTACTGAAATATCCAATTCACTTGAATATGTACTTGAAATTCACGTATGTACGTACAACACACGTGCGTCATTTTGCTGAACAGTATACACCAATTGTAAAACTCCAAATATTGGTCATTAGATTCTTACTCCCCTTCACTCTTAGAAAACGTCTTATTTGTCTACAATGTCTTTTATTATTATTATTATATGAAAAAATATTATCTATGTCCCGTAAAGATAGTCAAAGAAAAATGTTTCGCCAGTTATTGTATTAGTCTGTATTTAGGCAATTCATAAGAAAATCATCTCTCTATCTTCACATTAAAAGCAATATTAGAAATACAAACTGCATGTAACTCGACCAT